GACATAGGGACATTGGGAGACATTGGGACACGGAGACACTATGTCCCCCAGCCAGTGTCCCTAGTGTCTCAGTGTCCCCAAGTCTCCCAGTGTCTGTGTCCCATGTCTCACAGTGTGCCTAGTATCCCCATGTGTCCCAGTGTCCCCATGTCTATGTCCACAACTGTCCCCGTGTCTCCCCAAGTGTCTGTCTCCCAGCCAGTGTCCCCTAGTCTCCCAGTATCCCCTAGTCTCCCAGTATCCCCTAGTCTCCCAGTGTCCCATAGTCTCCCAGTGTCTGTGTCCCTAGTGTCTTATTGTCCCCAAATGTTTCAGTGTCTCCATGTCTCCCAGTGTCTGTGTTCCTAGTGTCTCAGTGTGCCTGGTGTCCCTATGTCTCCCAGTGTCTCTATATGTCCCAGTGTCCACATGTCTATGTCCACAACTGTCCCCATGTCTCCCAGTGTCCCCAAGTATCTGTCTCCCAGCCAGTGTCTGTGTTCCCATGTCTGTGTCCCTAGTGTCTTAGTGTCCCCAAATGTTTCAGTGTCCCCATGTCTCCCAGAGTCTGTGTCCCCATTTCTCTCAGTGTCCCCATTTCTCTCAGTGTCCCCGGGTCTCTCCCCAGTATCCTAGTGACAAGGGGACACACTGAGACATTGGGACACTGGGAGAAATGGGGACACAGACACTGGGAGACTAGGGGACTGGGCGACATGGGGACACTGACACTGTGATACATAGGGACACTGAGACACTGGGTGACTTGCGAGACTGAGACACAGGGAGACAGGGAGACACTGGGAGCAATCCATCTATACAGCAGAATCAAACTGTGAGTAGTTTGGTGATTTTACAGAATTTTCTCTGATGTCACTCCTTGTGATTTACATCATGTGATGTCGCGCATAACTAATTAATTATACAAATGATTAAGGCTGGTATTTTTTTCCAAGAAAGGTGGCAACCTTAACTACTCTTCACATATTCTTGCTTAAAGGAGCACTATAGGGTCAGGAACACAATCATGTATTTCTGACCCTATTATGTTAAAACCACCACCCTGGCCCCTTCTTGCCTCCCTAAATATAGTAAAATAGTACTTGTATTAAATTCTGCAGCTGCTGGCTCAGAAGTGGTGGTCTGAGCAAATTACAATACTTCCCCATAGGATTAGCTGAGACTGTCAACTAGGCAGATCAGGGGCAGAGCCAGCACAAGTCCAACATAGCCCTGGCCAATCAGCATCTCCTCATAAAGATAACTTGAATCAATGCATCTCTATGAGGAAAGTTCAGTGTCTGCATGCAGAGGGTGGAGACACTGAATGGCAGTGCTGCACACTAGGCAGTACTGCCCCAGGAAGCACCTCTAGCAGCCATCTAAGGAGCGGCCAGTGGAGTTATTTTCTCTGAAAAGACAGTGTTTACTGCAAAAAGCCTGAATGGAATGATTCTACTTACCAGAACAAATACAATAAGCTGTAGTTGTTCTGGTGACTATAGTGTCCCTTTAAGTTTGGAAGCTTAAGAGGGATGTATGGGAACAAAACTTGTGTGCACTGGCTAGTTTAGGTAATGCAGACGTTGGTCTCTCTAACACTGTGGCATGTCCCCTTTCTTCTACACTCACTACAGACACCTTTTCTCTGTCTCAGACTATATACCAGGAACTTCTGCCTGCTAGTAAGAAGGTAAGGAGACAAGTGGACCAGCGAGTGCTAGGGGACAGTCCTTAGAAAGAATGGAGTGAGCGCATCATTAGACGCATTTATGTCAAGCTCAAGGTGCTGCCTGCATAGTATGCCCTTAGTTGGACAGCCTGCAGAATTGGCAGGCAGCCTGACATGCATTCATGCCAGGTTAACCTTCCAATTCTTTGGACAAACATGCCCCCTTTTTGGGCATGTTCACCCCTTTTGGCAGGTCTTGTCACGTGATTCGTGCCAGTGGCACACCCTTTTACCGTGCCCATTGACTTCCTGCTTCACTGGACACTGCTGTTAGGGGTTATGGATTTACTTGAAAGATGAAAGCATAAATTAGAGAGAAATTAGCATAGAGTATGTGTTTTCTTATAGTTGCATCCTATGAGTTTCCCTCCAGCACCATCTCCATCAGATACATGACGCTTGGGAGGTATGATTGTTTTAGTGTTTTTGGTCGATAAGATTCTGTAATTAGGCCCATCATAATTGTCAGCACCAGGCCCACTGTGCTCTTAATCCGGCCCTGCTTATAACGGTAAAAAGAAAGGGTTAATAAGTGTGTAGAGGTTTAGAAATATACAGCTTTCTGTCTCATTAGAGATTTAGTTTTTTAAGCTGAAGACAGCAAGGTTAATTGTTAGAGTAGGACTCAACTAAGACGTTTTGCCTTGACGTGGCAGATGAGCTTACATTTTAAAGCCCATTGTGATACTAAAATCTTCCAGTTATATAAATGTGCGTAGGGATTTGGGATAGTGTGCAGGTAACTTTTTTTGTTTTGTTTTTTTATGTATTGTAGTAGTGTGTAGTATAGTCATTGCTGCCACCCAGGCGTAGTGGGAGTTTGAGCACAGGGCTTAATGTTGTGTGTTTGTAATTCCTTTACTGTGTTTGTTTACATTTGTGGTTTGCAGTGTCTTGCAAAAGAAGTTAATCTATTTCATCTAATTTTTTTTTTCATTATAGGTTAAAGAACCACTATAGTGCCAGGAAAACAAACTTGTTTTCCTGGCACTCTAGTGCCCTGAGGGTACCCCCACCCTCAGGGTCCCACTCCCGCCGGCCTGAAGGGGGAGGAAGGGGTTAAAATATTACCAAACTCCAGCGCCGGGCTCCCTCGGCGCTGGGGACTCTACTCCTCCTTCGGTCGTCATCGGCTGAATGCGCATGCGCGGCAAGAGCCGCGCGCGCATTCAGCCAGTCCATAGGAAAGAATTCTCAATGCTCTTCCTATGGACGCTGGTGTCTTCTCACTGTGAAAATCACAGTGAGAAGCGCGGAAGCGCCTCAAGCGGCTGTCAATGAGACTGGAGGCTGGATTAACCCTATTGTAAACATAGCAGTTTCTCTGAAACTGCTATGTTTACAGCAGGCATGGTTAATCCTAGATGGACCAGGCACCCAGACCACTTCATTGAGCTGAAGTGGTCTGGGTGCCTATAGTGGTCCTTTAACCCCTTAAGGACCAAACTTCTGGAATAAAAGGGAATCATGACATGTCACACATGTCATGTGTCCTTAAGGGTTTTAAGGAGGTCTTCCCACCATTTTGCTAATAATTAGAGGTTAATGGGTTGGTAGCTACATGTTGGTGGGCTAAGGCAGGTAACAAGATTGCTTATTATTACAGTGTGTAACTAGAAGCTTTGGGACCCATTGTCATACCTCGGTCTAGGACCGGAATTATGCATCCTTGGACCCTTCATCTTTGGAAGAGCACATTATTAGGACCAGCTGTTGAGGGTGAGCACTAGAGCCCATATACACCAATATTACATTTTATATACCGTAAGGTTCTTTCTTTTATGAATCTTTACTATTTATTTTAAAAAAGTTTTACTGTTAAACGGAACAATAAATTATGTAATTCTGCGTCAGGTACCATACCAGGAACTGAAAGTCAGGGTAACATTTCTGTGCTTTTACCCAATCTAGTAACTGATTATCAATCTGTCCAACAACCTCATGCCCTCTAAGTTGCAAGGAGTGCTTGAATAAATAGTAATATTGATCAATTTTGATCTTATACATATTTTAAAATAATTGTACTTTCAACCACTGACTGAGAAGCTCTTTACTTCAGCGAATGAAGTAAAACTCAAGCACTAGATGGATGCATATTTTTTTTTTACATTCTTTATTTTTGAAAGGGCAGTGGTACTGACAAAGAGTGATAATAATAATTGGTGTATTGACATCATCCGACGTTTTTTATTTTTTTTATCTTAAGTATTTTAAACAAGATAGGTCTCATACACTGTAACACTTTGAGAAAGCCTTACTATAGGTAAAACGTGTGTGTGTTTTATGAATCTTCTTATGTTACACTCTCCAAATAAAGTCAGTTATTTTATGCAATTTGGAGCTTCCTGACCTATCTTTGAAGATTGTATCTAGAGGACTCACGCTGCGACATCCTTAGTGGGGATTATACCACCTACGCCTATTGGGATTGAGCAATACCTATATTCAGGGCCGCCATCAGGAGGTGACAACCATAACAGTTGTCTCGGGCCCGGTGGTCTTGGGGGGCCCAGACTGCTTTAGCAGTCCAGGGCCCCACAATTACTCTCTGGGCCCAGACCTTGTGCTTTGTCAGGGGCCCCAAAATTTCTGGTGGCGGCCCTGCCTATATTTGCTCTCCGTTTGTGAGTATACCTCTTGTTATCTGCTTTTATCCTTTTGAAAACATACAGAGAGCACTATATTCTGATTTAATTCCCCCTCCTGTATACTGAGGAAATCTGATTGCCAGACTGCGGCACACCAACTAAGAACACCACCATAACTGTGAATGACATCTTCAAACAAGCACAAGGATCACCATCATATCTACAGACGGGGTTTGTATTGTCCAAATCTGGAGCTGAATATAAACTCCAGGAAATTGTAAGTGCATTTTGTTTTTCTACATTTAACTGGAATTTAAAACATACGACACTATATTACGTTCTCTCCTCTTATTCCCTATATTACTTTGGATCTGAGAACACTACTACAGGCGCTGCTTCCCTGCACCCCTTTTTGCAAATCCACTACATCACTAGAAAGAAGAGACTCTGGTTTGGGAAGCCCACCCTGCCAAACATAAAGAATACAGACGCCAAAAATTTCAACTCCTTCCTATCGTAACCTTTATGTGTTTACGGCTACTGCCATCTTCCAGGGATGCCATCCTGGCCTGCATGGACTTAAAAGTCTTCCCGAGGCTGGAGAGTGTTTGTGCTGTAGCAGTGTGAAATTCTGTGAGCTCCGCCACCATCCCCTCCACCGCCTTTACTCATCCCCAGAGAGTTTGCACCTCTTTACTGACCTTATTCACGTCAGTTGCCAGCATGTGTTTCACTTTGACGTCCTCTTTGGTGGAGGGAATTTCAGTCTCCTCAAACGAGGAAACATTGTACAGGCACGTTGTGGGAAAGCTATCAGGACTGTTCAGCTCCTGTTCCGTCAAGGACAAGGATTCCACCACTGGCGCAGACGCCATCTTAGGCACAGGCCTCTGCAGGCCGCGGGCCAGATAATACCGATATCTCAGGATCCGCTTGCCTGTGTCGCTTGCAATCTTTTCGAGCGCTTTTCCATAGCTATGGGACTCGTGAAGCTGGACTGGGGCAGGTATCAACTCGAATTTTCTTGCCTTAAAGCAGTGCCTGAAAGCAGTGTTTTGGAGGTCGCAACCAGTCATTTTGATTATTGGTTCCGCCATCCTAGATGGATGCATTCTAGATGCCACCATACTAACCTCCGACCCCCTGCAACTAGTCCAAAAGTGTACATGAAATTAACATATGTTACCTTCATAATAGAAACTTAACAACCCATCTCACTGTGCTTTCTTATTGCATAATTTTACTTTATTTGCTGTTGTTGGAATACTTGATTCCATGGTTACTCAACCAATATTACATAACAAAAAATATTGGTTTTGGTTAATAGTTAAAGGGACACTTCACAAATAAAAAAAAAATAATAATAAATTACTATTTAGGAGATATACCATCAAAGAAAACATGCCTGTATTTAATTATGCATTTTTTAATCTAAAAATAGCTTGCACAAGGTACAGATCAGCCTTTGCAAGCCAAGACCTCCTCTATTAACCCAGCCCAGACTTTCTGTGTCTGTCCAATCACAGACTTCCAAATGCAGCTCAATGAGAACTCTTTGCAGTGCAGGTGCTCTGAGCAATCGCCTGCCTCTTGAGTCAAACTACCAGGAAGTAATAGGGCTGGTTTTCGGACAGTCTGGTCGGGGAGGTAATTTATAAAAGTGCAAATTAGTACTGAAATCTGCACTTTTTGTAAAATGAAAAACAAAAAGAGGACACAATACTCATAGGGCTTCAAAATAAACAAAAGAGCAGATTTGTTGTAAGCAGACGTGCATTTGCATATAATCAATGTTTCAGTGCAACTACCATGACATAGTAAGGAAAGTTTTGTAATTGGACTGAAATTGTGAATGTATGCTATTGCACAGCATTAAATAAAATGATGTTATCTTGCTCATTTTGAAGTAACAAGAGTGTGCTCTTCACTTTGGCTGACAACTGGATGATCTCAGTCAACGCCAATTCAATTCCCATAGGAAAGCATTGGGAGGATGTTGCACATGTGTGGCAAAATACTGCACTTCACCGCACCAATCAGCATCTCTTCATAGAGATGCATTGCATCAATGCATCTCTATGGGGAGCGTTCAGCTCAACATAGGTGCTGCACACTATGCAGCACTGGACAAGAAGCAGCTCTAGTGGCCGTCTGAGTGACTGTCACTAGAGATGTTCCTAGGCAGCAATGTAAACACTGCCTTTTCTCTGAAAAGGTAGCATTTACAGTGCTCAGCCTATAGGGACAGACTATAGACACCAGAACCACTACATTAAACTGTAATAGTTCTGGAGACAATAGTGTCCTTTTAATACAAAGTTTTTCTCTCACCGGTCAACTCTAAATTACAGGGAGAGCAGGAGACACAAGTGAAGATGCACTTTGTTTGTGTTTTTCTCCCCCAAGCCCCTTTCATGTGTTTCTTAGCTCCCGCCCCTTTGTTTCTTTCTCCCCTTCACCAGCCCTTCTGTGAGTCTCTTCCCCAGGCTGCAGCACGTCTGCGTGCCTCTTTCCCCACAGATCCTCTGTGTGTTTCATTCTCCCCTTCCCCAGCCCTTCTGTGAGTCTCTTTCCCAGGCACCAGCGCCTATGTGTGTCTCTTTCTCCACAGCTCCTGTGTGTGTCTCATTCTCCCTTTCCCCTGTGTGTTTTTTTGTTAGTCTTTCTCAGGCCCTCTGTCTCCTTCTCCCCAGATCCCTCCATGTATTTTTTCTCCACAGACTCTCCGTGATTCTTTTTACTCCCCTGCCCCTCCATTTGTCTCATTACCCCCAGCCCCTCCATGTGTCTCATTAGCCCCCCAGCCCCTCCATGCATCCCATTAGCCCCCTTCCAGCCTTGTATGTCTTATAATCCCTCCCATGTGTCTCAGCAGCTTTCTCCCATGTGTCCCATTAGCACCCAGCCCTCCATGTGTCCTATTAGCCCTCTCTCCCAGCCCTTCATGTATCCCACTAGCCCCCCTCCCAGTCCTTCATGTGTCCATATACCTCCCTCCCAGCCCTTCATGTGTCCCTCTACCCCCCTCCCAACCCTCCATGTGTCCCTATATACCCTCCCAGGCCTCCATACATCCCATAGTATGCCGGCCCGCCGGGAAATTTCCTGGTATCCCAGTGGGCCAATCCAGCCCGGTAACTAGGTGGGTAGCATATGTGAACAAGGAGGTGGATGATGGTTAAGACAAGGCAGGATTGGCGTTAAAATTAGTTTTTTGCATTTTCAAATATTAACACTAACTTTGGCCAGTGTTTGTGACCAATGGCTACTAATAAAGACTGGACATACCCCATTTGCAATACCTTGGGTTGTCTACTTTTGCAAATGGTATGCCATCATGAGGGTAATTCTTATTCCTGGGCTACCATACGGTCTCAAAGGCAACATAACCAATCTGGCGAATTTCAATGTGAAAAAACGGAAAAATGTAACACGCTATATTTGACCCCGTAACTTCCCAAAACACCATAAAACCTGTACATAGGGGGTACTGTTTTACACGTGAGACATCGCTGAATACAAATATGTGTATTTTATTGAAGTAAAAGCAAACAGTATTATGACATTCACAGTTAAAATGTCACATAGCACTAAACATTTTTTTTTTAATTCTTATTTTTCCCCATTTTTTTTATATTTTATTCATATTAAATTATGTTTCATACCTAAATATATGATGTTAAATGAAAGCCCTGTTTACCCCGAATAAAATGATATATAATAAGTGTGGTTGAGCATAATATGAAAGAGGCGAACTACGCCTGAACAGACATATAGCGCAAATTCCAGTATTTGTTTAAGTTTTGTTTTGATCACAACGTGTACATATGGCTCAGTCCTTAAGGGGTTAAATAATTTATGGAAGAAGAAGAAAAATACTTGAAACTCCCATGATGCTTTGCATGTGTTTAGAATGCTTTTAGAATGACAGAGCATCATAGAAGTTGTATTTTTAAAACCTCATTTTGGGTACCCCTGGTTTAATTGGTTACTCCAGCCCTTTTTAGCTAAACATTTTATTTTAAATTTAGAGTGCCCTATTGAGCATTATTCACTTGGTGTCCACCTTTAATGATTAAGAAAAAAAAAGCCACCTTAATAAATAAGAAATAACATAGTTGTAATTCAGCACCAGGTGAAGCTTCCTTCGCTGTTCCCCACACACCATCCATTGTCACCTCTTTCCTCTCCATGGTCCAGTAAAATGCTTCTCATAGAGAAGCATTTGATTACAGTGTTCTCGCTGGCTCAGAAAGCAAGCGCACACTCTAAGCGGAGGGAGTGTGGGCGTTGGACAAAGAAGGGAGGAGATAAAAAAAAAAAACTTAATGCACCTTAAAGAATTGATAGAGTGGAGATATCAGCTTCCCATTGAGACATTGGTGGGGAGGACTGAAATAAGAAATTGAGGGAGTGGAGATATAGGCAGGCTTCCAGCAAACAATTTCTTCCTTGTCAGAGTGGACAGCTTCTGTTCCTGATTTGGCTCAGTGCCAAAATTTGTAGGCTTCTCTCCATTTGATTTCACTATATTAAAATATAATGCCAAATGCTACACTCCTGTGTGATTTGATTTAATGTAGAATCATGGTGCTCCCAAAATGAGACTGTGATCCTGAGCTCCTATAGTCTAGTTGCCTTACTCAATGTAGATCGGACGATTTTATTAAAAATCGTGACCTTACAATTGCAAATTCCTTTAGCCTAAATGATTTCTATCAGCAGCTATCATAACTTCACATTTTACTGCTGGGAATATTATTATCAGTTAAGTAAGATGAGGATGAGGCCATTGATTACATTTTCTGGAAATACCTGAAAATAGGTGTTTTTTTAAATGGCAATTCTTCGGCAAAAAAATGATTCTATTTATTCAAGACCCTCTACAATACTCCACAAGCCCGTGTCACAGTTAGCAATTTGAACTCTCTCTATTCCACAATCCTTAGTTCAGTTTAGTTAATTCAATATTGACTTCCCTTTTGATTTCTACTCAACTTCATTATTTTAATGAAGGACTTGTTCACTTTTTTATTTTTTTCATTTTATTTTTTGATTAGGCAATATACAACACAGAGTTTCAGCAGTGGTATAAGGATTGACACAAGAAACATTAAGAACAGGAACAAAAGCCATGCGGTCTATCTATCCCCCCTCTTTTATACTTTTTGGTATTAATATAATATATTATCTTATATCTTACTATATGTATCTGTTGGTTTATGATTCAAAAATGTACATGTGCATATTGCCATGTTTACTTTACTTTGTACCACCTGCCTTGAAAAAGGATCTTTAATAAGGTTGGTATTAATTGGTCGTTAAATATTTGTGTCTATGCTGTACACTTTATCATGCCAAGAAGTAGTAATACCTCTATATCTTAGAACACATCAATACACCCCATAGCAATTGAATTAATAGTGAGTGTATCCAATGTGAGATCCCATGTTTGAGTGGGAGTTAATAGCTGTATCCAATATTAGATTTTCATCACTTTATATGCCTTTTGTCACTTATTTCAATTGTGCAGTTGCCAGTTGATAAATGGCTTTCAACACCTTTTCTATTAGCTAAACTAGCTGCCAGATAGCACAAAAATCAATTACGCCAATATGCCCTAACTAGAAGACGATCAGTCAGGCTGGAGAAATGCTAGAAAGCAAACCCTTTTCTGATCTTGGCTGATTTACTTATAATAAAGATTGCACCAGGATCTGCACAGTAACTGGCAATACCTGATTGGGGAGTAGAAGAAGTGAAATGGTAGAGCTATGGTTTTATAATGATCCACAGCTTGTGCTTGCAGTTCCCCAATGTGTTCTTCTGTGCGAGTATATTATGTAGTGCCGCAGACTTTGTCTATTCTTTGTTTTAAAGGAACCGTATGGCATTTTATTAACTACATCTTCATGGAATCACACGCGGCTAGATCTCTGTTGTAGTTTATATTTATAAATTGTACTGACATTTATTAAACAAAAGTAACATGCAGAGTAATTGTTAATGCATAAAATAATGCATTACGTTAATATGTTTAAAAATAGGTAACCATGTGACAAACACATGAAAAGAGAAAGGTAATACGCAGCGGAAT